TCTTATTCCGTCTGATTTTTATGGTAAATATATCTTTGCAAAATAAAAGAAAAGAAAATTATCTTATTTTCTAATACATACAGTAAGAATAATAAGAAGAGAATAAAATTTTGTTCATATTTTATTACCTTTAGATCATCTGGATGACGGATGGATACAATGGGTATAAAGAATAACCAATTTTTGAAAATGGGATAGTACTTATTAGAAAGAGTGATTAAACGCTTCCATAGTACTTCTAAAAAATATATGTATACGCACACAACGTTTTTGTTCATATATTATATAAATTTATAAACATTGTAATAAAAATTGATTTAAACATTTAAATATACAGAAATATGATATGTTTAATATACTCTATTATTTCTCAATAAAGTTTAGTAACCGAGAAATGAATACTATTATGTAGAAAATAATTAACAACATTAAATAATTCTTAAAATTAACAAGCAAATGTTTTTTAACATTGATGGAAATACTTAATGTTTTTTAAAGTGAATGTGTACAAATATTATATTTGCATGTATGTGTACATATAAACATTAATTTAGTCAGGAATTATACATTAATTTACTGGGAGTATATTGAATGCCAATTTAAATATTATTTTAATTATTATAGTCGTTCCTGGATAAATCGAGTAACACAATTATGATTTCCAATGTTCATCGAAAATTAAAAACGGACTAATAATTTAATTGAATGATATACCATCAAACTTTAAATCACAAATATTTAAAACATTTTAATTTTTAAAATAAAATTTTAATTAAATATATAAAACATTTTTTAACTTACCTCGCGAACCAAATATTATGTATACACTTCCAATAATTGGATAACATAGTGGTCCTGGTACTAGATTAATGAGTCGTCCGGTTTTTCCATAATGCACATAATAATTACATACTAATAACATAAAGACACAGATTGATAGCAATACAACAAACATTACTGATCAACTAATCAAATTGATTAATATTATAAGATTTTTGTAATTTAATGTGTCTCAATAAAAAAATTCTAATTTTTTTATTGTCCTGACATTTTTAATTGCTCAAGAATTGATCACTTTTTTTTCAGAGATAGTTTTAAAAATGATACAACACTAGGACTGAAATGAAAACATGTCCGCTCCGAGCGGCTTCTCGAGAATAATATGAGTCTGGCTTATTTATTTTTTCTTTTTATATGGTAGTAAAGAATGTTTATTTCGCAAGATAAATACGGACGCTTGTTTAATTTCAAATTTAGATTAGGCGATAGGCGTCACACGAATTTATATAACAGTCCATTCCACTGTCCATTCCGCTGTCGAGTGAGATGCGATTGATTTATATGTTTTCTTGTCTCCTAAGAATCTTAAGAAGTTGATTTTCATATTTGAAAAATAAGATTCAGACTAATATTTTGTTCATTAATTATGTATCCTGAATATTTTCATGAAAACCTCTCGGAAGGCACAGGAAGTTCTTAAGAGACCAGAAGAAGTGTTTTTGATTAAACTTTAACGGAGGGAGTTTGCTTCATAAAATATGACGCTTTTTGTGTGCTGTTCGGTAGTCTCACAAAAATTCTGTAATGCGTGCATCCGCTGTAAAATCTTATGTAAAGAGAAACGCCGAGAGGGGAACTCGGGCAAGTACTCGGCTATACTCGATCGACACTGAAGAAAAGTTATTTTTTCCGTAAAATATTATATCCTACTCATGATCGCACCTTATCGCTGTATTATAAATTACTGCTTCCGCCATTTCTCTAGTAACCAGAGAAGCTTTACTTAATTAAGGACAGCGTTAATGACCACCCGCGCATTAGCTCGCAGAAGTAAAAAAATTCGAAAGTTGTCCATTATTGTTGAGACCATTATTACCGGAAAAAAAAATAGTTTTTAACATAACAATACTTACGCGACCAACGACATAAATCACAAAGACTTGCATTTATTTTCGTTGGAGGTTCCATTCTTCTCTCTCTCTCTCTCTCTCTCTCTCTCTCTCTCTCTCTCTCTCTCTCTCTCTCTCTCTCTCTCTCTCTGTCTCTCTCTCCTGCGATAAAACAAAAAATCATTGTTAGATTCCGCATATGAAATTGTCCCGTGTCTTTACTGCCGCGTTTCGCTGATTCTTCGAGCCAGACTCTGATGGTTTTACGCATCTCTAATGGAACCTAAATGCGTACTATCGGCAGATCCATGACTCCTTCGAGACAGCTGACAGTTTCAAGAACCGAGCCTTCATTGAGTCGTGTGAGGTCGGACTGGATTTCTTTCGATTTTTCATTACGATTCATGTATGGAAGAGGAGTCTATATCACGCTTCACATTTTTCAAATTTTGAAACTTATTTCTGTTTATTATCTCAATAAATATACAAACTGCCAAAAGTTTCTCACTGGTGAGCAATTTTATTGTATTGTTCAGATAAAAAATTTTTATAAATAAAGATCAAGTTTACAAATACTTAAAATATTATTTTTTTGAAAGATACTAGAAGATTTGTGGATTATCGCCGTGTCTTTATTCATTAATGCCATTGGCATATGCAATATTTTAAGTAATTCTAAGAAGAAAATATCCGAAAGCCTTAAAAACATTGTTATTGTTGATTATAATAAGATTTTGATTAGATAACGTATAATATAAATTGAAAAACAAATTGATAAAAATTATTATAAAATATTGACCGGAAACTTGGCCATTTTGGCAGTTATTGTTTAACTGGGAGATAGATTATTTGATCGGGAAAAAAATAGATTCATTTTATCGCCATCGAGATTTTTAATTATTTGCAATGAAACGTGCATTTTAACGTGCTTTTTAGGATTCTTGAGTTCACTAAATATGACAAGGCTATTTAACGTAATCGATAAAGATCTCCGTAATATAAGATGTTCCGCAATGTAAGATTATGCTTTATGGAACTCATTGTCGATAACAATGAATAGTACTTAGGTACTATGGTCAATTTCTTTTAAATTGGCGATCTATTTCTCACTCTTTAATGACGATCCTGTTGACCATTCGCGAAAGCTGAGTGATTAATTATAAGGGCTAATTCGTGCACGATGATTAGAAACGTTCGGGGCTCTCTTCGCTCTAACTCACTTTCCTTGTTTAGTGATACATAATAACAAGATCTGTATTAGACATCTTGATGGATTTATTACGATAGAAATTTTGTTTATTATCTGAAACATATTTTTAATAATTTTGATTTGTAACTTCTTAAATGTAATGTAAGATATATTTTTACAAAAATTTTCGTAACATTTGTGCAACATTTTCAAGTATAGAATTATTTGATATTAAATAGTATCATACAAATAATTTTATACTTGGAAACTATACTTAAAAGAATTTTTTACACGGAAAGATTTTGCTGAAGTATCTACAAATCTTATTAGACACACAGATCAAAAAATAATTTTTTTGGACCACTACAATATATTGGGTCATTTAAAAAGTATCCGCGGTTTTTTGTCACTAGATGGTATTGATGGTCATATATCGGGCAACACTAATCCGATTGTGTCAAACGAACGCGCGTCTGAAAGATGACATTTTAGGTTACATTTTTAATTATAATGTAATGCCATGATATTCAATAGTACAGACTCGCACGATACATAGTACAACCGTTCATAATTAATCGTCGGTCAAATACATCTTTCACGTCCTATCCATCCTGAATTTCATCATTTCCTTGTATAATTATTCGTTATTCGCGCCTGCAATTACCGTGACATACCGCCGCTATTGCAATACTTATTGAAGTATCAGAAACTAACGATGTACCAACATTGACGTAGTGCCGACGATCGGACCGAGTCAATTAAATTAGTCTCGCAAATGTGCAACTGGTCGAATTCGTGGGCGACATATTCCCGGCGTGAAAGTACACGGAAGAGAACACGCGATATCCTGATGAACCACCGCCTCACAAGGGCATCAAAAATATGTCTCTCGCTGAACGCTACGGCGCCATCGACCAATAAAATATCGAGTACCGCGCCGTGCGGCAGGAAAAAGAGACGAGCACCACCTCCGCGTACCTCCCGATAAAACTTATGGTGCTTGTAAACCACCCAGTGGACAGTGCGGTGCGCACGCGAGAGTACAGGAAACATGTACTTTATAATAATAGTAAAAATAACGACGGCAACGACGGCGGTGGCGGTGGCGGCTGCGACGGCGACGATGGCGCAGCATGCGAACTTCTTCATGCATGCAAATGGATTGCGAGAAAGGCCGGTGCAGTATATATCTCGTTCTTGTATGTCCACGTTCTGTGCACTGCTACACAGAATATATACGATCCACCGTGGCCGCGTGTGTATTTCACGCGGGCTACCGCTGCGGTTCGACGGCCCTCGAACTAATGCCCTCGAGTTTCACGAGGTTCGAAAAATATCGATGGTACCGTATTAACTCCGGGCATGTTCTGCGAAAATTTAACCGGAAAATTTAGAATCAATGAGAAGCGACTGAAACACGGTGAAATGAAAGCGCAACGTCGCAATGATAAATGCAGTATAAATAAATGAGAGCATACGTTTATGCACGGAGGAAAAAATATTTGGTTGAATTAACTGAAATTGTGGTGGAAAATGAACGATCCAGAATTCTACTTAAGTTTATTAGATTTTTAATTAAATTTACTAGAATTCTGAATCGTTCATCTTCTATCAGAATTCCAGTTAATTCAATCAAATATTTTTTTTCCTTTTGTGTACTCAAAGAAAAAAAATCTTGGTGTTAATATTTTTATGTGAATCTTACAATTTCTAATTCAAGCAATTTGTGCACCATTTTATTTGCAATTATTTACAAATTAAATTACCATGTAATTTAATAATGCTGATGCTAATATTTTAAAACACTGTAAAGAATTTATCGCGAAAAATCATTCTAGTTAGGATTCGAATCTGGAATTCCCTACATTTTTCTACAGATGTTTTTTACAGATTGTAACTATAAAATTATGATTATTGCTACCACTGTCTTTTACTCTGAGTGTGAATAAAAGAAAGGTATATCAAATCAATGAATAAATAGTAATCGAAAATTCATTATGATTTAAAAAAATTCTTCAATAATTTCTCGATTTATATTCATCTTGTTTTTGTTCGATAACACACGATATTATTGTCGATTTTATGTTTTGGTTAAGCCACCATGCGTAAACACTACGAAAAACAATCCCGTCGATTATGGTTGTTTACGCGCCGATAAGAGAAATAATCGCAGTGTAATAGCATAATCATCGTTGCGTAAGAGGAAAATAACAGACATCGTTCCGTCGGAGGATCGTTGAGGATCATTTGAGCTGATCATCACGTTGCAAGAGATTAAAGGCGAAATTTAATGCACGAGAATAACGATTTTATTAATATTTAAAAATATCTAAAAATCTAGATAGATGTATAAGTCTAAAAATAATTTTACTAGATTATCAAAATAAATTATATAGATTGCTCAAGTCACTGGTTGTTAGAATATTAAAATTTTTTGCAGCATTATTACTTACGATTAAATGTTCTACTAATTATTTTAACAAAATTACTTTTAAATTTGTATAAGTAAGAACAATGGATTCACTTTGTGTCGATATAAATGCTAAGCGATAGATTAACGAAAAATGTAAAAAAGAACTTACATCAGCTGTTCGGGTGCACAGAAAATTCTTTATTTTGAATGTAACAAAACGAATAAGATATATGTTTCAATTCTCCAATTTAGATTCTTATCAATATAAAATATAATATCAATATATATATCGAAATTACATATTAATGGGGGGGGCTTTCTTTCATTGATAGATTCTTTCGAGTCTCATTTTATATATTTGTTTAAACAATAGATGTTGGTTATGCACGCCCAGTAAACAATATTTTGTATTTATGTTAAA